GCGCACAAGCTATAGGAGGGCCTACGGAGGAGGAGAAAAGAAGAAAGGCACTCAACAAAGCGAGACGTCCATGAGGTTCCGCTGCCCAGCGACGGCTACCGCTACTCACTATCGCCGACTGTAACAAAAGTCTAAACATGGAACGATTTCAACTCACCTATGTAACCTCTTCGAGAAATGCGTCATATTGTGATAGGTTCTGAATAACGAGCCAAAGTATGGATTGAACAGCGCTTTGGCCTGCTCTCTGAAACAGTGAATTCACTCAACCGGGAAGAAGCACGAGACCTAATGGGTGGCGATAATGGACTCATTCATGGGCCACGTGAAACTATGCTAGCGATGGACAAGCCATATTTTGGATGCGTGCTATCTGCAAATATGAGCAATGGAGGGGCGGGACGTTTCGAAGTTGCGGCAAAAGAATAGTTGCAGCTGGAGCGAGTGAGCGGCATCCAACCAGAACCCTACCGATTCAACGCGGCAGTGTTGCAGTAGGCCGCTTTAGATCTCGCAGATGCTTTGTGAAGAGATGGGTCGTGGAAGCGGCTTTCTAACCCTATAGTTTCACAAGTTGCAGCTCCTAAGCGAAGTTCAAATGGACGTCTAGACCTCACTCCGTCCTTAAAGGCAGCGCCCACGTTCACTTGATGTTCCTACGCCCTTTCTGGGTATCATAGCCCTCCCCATAAGGATGCAGTATGTACTAGTTTTGCATCTCACAAAGGCGAGAGGATAGCGCCTATCGCTAGTAAAGAGTCGACCGCCCCGCCCACCTGGCGACCACGACGCCCAACTTCATTTCTGATGGTGCGGTTGTTCCGCTTCTAACTCTCTCCACTTCGATGGTGAGAGTGAGGTGATAAGGGGAAACAGCTGAAATCAACAAGTGAGAACTCGTGCAACCACTCCTTCTCTTCGCCTTAAGCACGTACAACCGCTATTCGGTATGAAACTCCTTATAGGGCATTTTGCATGTTTTCTTTTTGATTTTTCTTCACTAATAGGTTTCTTGCTACCTTGCTATTACTACCTGAGCCGCATACTCATCAAATTTGAACGCGGGCGCTGCCTTTAAGGCTGCTGGCTCCTGCTTCAAAGCATTGACGTCGTGGAAGATTATTTGATAACTAGGGGCGAAGTCTTCAAACAGCTCCTTTATTTTGGCCTCGGCAGCTCTCATGGAGCCAAAGTGGTGTAAGGAAAGTATTCGAGGGGGGTCAGTCGGTGCTGACAGTACTGGTCACATTCCTCATCCATTCTGCAGAAGAAAAAGCATATTATCATTCACACCTCTTCAGACTTGAGCAAGAGTTTTACGTTTGAAGACTTCCACAGAACTTCATCGCCAACATAGTGGCAGGTATTTTCCATTCCAGCTGGTTTCTAATATTAGGTTGGAAGGAAACTCTTGTCAGTGTTTTTTGAAAAGCCTACACTTTTCGGTTCTTGATGCTCGAACATGGCGTAACATGCCATGCTTGTAGAACATTCTAGGAGCTTTCCTGCAAGAGTTGTGTGAGGGCGCCTGCACTTTCCTGGGTCTAATTACGATGTCAGTTTCACAGGAGCATCTTCGGGTCATCATGTTCTATCAGTGGCCCCGCGGCACTGGAGCAGCGGCAGCTGTCCGCAACATCAGCAGTGCATTGGCGGAGGACAGCACTATCAGCACCTTGGTTGCTACAGCCACATGGAGTGGAAGAATCCACCATTCTCAAAGCAGTCAAGGGAAGATCCTGGAAGCTACCACCCGCACTTTTGCGACAAGACTCGGGTGTAGCTAACTGACAGTTGTCAACCGCCTGTACGCCCTTGACTGCCGAAAAGTACTGGCTTAATGGATAACCCATGCTTTGATCGATGACGCTGTGCACTCGCGTACCCCTTGGTCAGTCTCCCCT